ATTAAAACAGTAACTATTAACACTAAAATTCATTTAGAAAATGACAAAGATGAGAAGGAAGGGAACTAGATGCAATGGTGAGGAGTTGGGGTCCTCTTAATCCATTAACCATCTCCAGAATGACATGTCCCCATTGGGGAGTCAGGCAGTTGGCAGAGGCAGGTCTTCAAGCTCTTTCAGAAAGCCAAAAGGGTGGGTGCAGATCTCACCTCGGGGGCGGGGGGGGGGGGTCACAATACTGGGCAGGCATAAGTGATGAATTGAAAATAATTCAATATAAAGTTAGTTCTTAACTTTCCACTGGTTGCTTAGCAGCTGTTCAGAGTTACAGCAGACCATCCAAAAGCTATTGACATCCCAGTTCCAAAGTTACAATCGCTGAAGTACCCTAAAGTCATTCGTTCTTATGACACAATATAGGGGCATTGCAGGAGTCCCCCTGTTTATTTCCTCACCCTGGGTCCCTGTGGGCCTGCTTCCCTTCCCACCATGCCTTACAGCCTCTTCATTTATTCTCTGAAAATCTGAAAAGCGTTGGGCTTGGGTTAGGAAAGAAGAGAGGTTGTTCTTCTCCTAGTCTGCGTAGTGTGGTCCCGGAAGCAGCCACCTTTTTCCGGTCAGCTGCATCGAATTGTGGCTACCCTAAAAATGATGGCCATTTCCAGGATTGTGCCACATGGTCCAGAAACGAATAGGCGTGTTCTGCTTACTTAACATGAGCTCTGATCCATTGCGGAGCTTTTCAAAACTTGTACTAGAGAATTATACCGAAAATGTACAATAAAGAATTGAAATATTTGATTGTAAATGTTTTAACAGTGGCTAGGATTGTATTTGCTAAGAATTGGAAAAATGAAAAAATACCTATGCAGGAGGAAGTTATTAAGAAAATTACAGTGTGCTGAAATGAGTAAATTGACATTTGAAATTATAGAACAAGAAGATAAACAATTTTACATGATATGGGATTTGTTTTATCAATGGTTGGATAAAAAGACATTAATGTAATAGACTAGGAAATCTTGTAATAGAAGTTTAATAGATCGATATAAAATATAATATAGATATACTGTATATAACTATTGGATGAAAGTACAATATAAATTTCATAATAAAATCTAGAATATCTCGTATGAAATGATGGAATAAATAGTTCAGTCATGAATGATTAATAACTGATAAATATATAAGCATATGTTACTTTGACAATGTGGGAATTTATATAAACTGTGAGTAATGAGTATGAAAGTTTAACAATGTGGGAATTTATATAAACTGTGAGTAATGAGTATGAAAGGATAGCACAAAAGATTTGTAACCAACAGACACACTCTATGTATGTAAAATGGAAGATGGGTTTATGTTTTTATGTTTTGTGTGTATGTTTGTATTAAAAAATAATTTTTTCATAATAAAAAAAAACCTTGTAATAGAGGAACAGAACAAGCCTCTTTGCACTTGGGGCGTGTGGTGTGAAGTAGTTGCCATTTACAGAGCCTCCATAATTCATTGAGGCTGCCCAGAAAATAGAGTCCACTTCTAGGATCAAACGATATTGCCCAGTCCCTCATGTCAAGTGTTAATACCACTTTATAATGCCTTGGTAAAACCACACTTGGGATATTGCTTCCAGTTTGGGTCACCACGATATAAAAAATATGTTGAGACTCCACAAAGAGTGCAGAGAAGAGCAAGAAAGATGATTAGAGGACTGAAGGCTAAAACATATGAAGAACAGTTGCAGGCATTGGGTATGACTAGTTTAATGAAAAGAAGGACTAGGGGAGACCTGATAGCAGTGTTCCAATATCTAAAGAGTAAAGAAGAGGGGGTCAAACTATTCTCCAAAGGCAGGACAAGAAGCAATTAATGGAAACTAATCAAAGAGAGAACCAACTTAGAACTAAGAAGGAATCTGACAATTGGAACAATTAATCAGTGGAACAAGTTGTCAGTGCTGCAACACTGGAGACGAGATTGGACAACCATTTGTCTGAAATGGTTTAGGGTTTCCAGCTTGGATTAGAAGGTCCCTTCCAATTCTTATTTTCAGAATGAAGAGGCCTGCTCTGCTTCCCTAATACAAACTCTGGAAAGTTCCCTGTCCATCACATCTGAAGCTCATGTTAAAGCAGCAGGGGAAACCATTCCATTCCTAAGCTGTGTGGTGTGATCCCAAAAATGACCGTCATTTACAGAGCACCCACAATTAATCCCAAGCTGCTTTTAGGATTGTGCCACACGGTCCAGGAGCAGAGCTGCTTACCCTCCTTCCTCCTCCTAAACCAAGCTCCAGAGATCTATGAAAGGCACAATGAATGACATGGGGTAACAAGGTTGTGGGGCATGGTGGGGCATTAAGAAGACACAAAGCCTGCAGGGATACTAAGGGGTGGGAAGTGGCAAACAGAGTGCCTAAGGGGATGGGGGGAGTTTGGAGAGGTCCAGGGCAGGACCTCTGCCAGGCCTCCTAGGGGCTCCCCAGGGTGGCTTAGGGACCCTATGCTTCATTAAACAACTTGCATATTCATTTAATGGCTGCACTGAAAAAAAGAAATGGGGCGATTGCATAGGCACTTCATTTAATGACTCTCATGACTTCTGAAGGTTTCATTATAGTCTTCGACCTGTATTATTTCTGCATGTTTCTGTCAAGCAATATTCTTTGTTGTGTCAGTTCTTTGTTTGTGCATCATGCCTGCATATCCCATAAGAAATGCACTTGATGTATTTGTGTTTTGCAGGTGCAAAGCAAATAAATTAATGGAGAATATTCAGCAATCATTTCAAAAGTTAATTATGTCATTTGAAATATGTTTGCTAGGTCTTGGTATTTTATTAAGCATTAGACAATTTGATAATTTAAAATTCAAATTCTGAAACTAATAACTGATACATTCCATATGTATCAACTTCATATCCTACTCTAAGTATACAAATAGAAGATTGCATTTCAAACCTGTTGTCCATCTTTGATGCCAAGCTTGCCTGCCAAGTGTCTATTTATTTCAACAATATTTTCTTCTGTTTGACGATAACGTCTGATTTCCATCCAACCCAAGAATACTGGTTGATTACCCCAAGATGCTTTCACAACTTGATCCTATGAATTTAAAAAATAAATAAATTTATATTAAATGAACAGGGGATATTTCATGTAAGTGGACAAACAGATACATACAGACCAGGTCCAAGAAAAAGTGGGATTTTTTTTAAAATATAAAATTAGGGTGTTCTTGTCTGATAACACTCCAGATATTGAGGAATTCCTTTAGGTATCAATTTGAAGGCTGTAATCAAATTGGTATAACAAAAGATTTCTTTTTCTAGAAGTGTTCCAATTTGATTTATAAGTCTTGCATTTTGTAATTTTCTCCATTGTTTTTCCTCAATCCTAGCATCATCTAGTATAGCAACATCAAAGAATCAGACTATTTTCTTTTCAATAACTATTAAATCAGGTATCTATCAACAAGATGCTTGTCAATTTGGATCCTAAAATCCCATAAGATCATAACCCACTTATTATTCTTAGTATTTTATCCCGGTTTTTAAACACATAACTCTAACACACCTTCCTCCTCTGATTTTCTTGCAACAGCAACATTATGGCACTTGGTTAGGCTAACAGTAACTGACTCAATCAATCAATCAATCAATCATGCCCTCTATTTATAAAATACGCAGAGTTTGACTTTTATATTTTATACTATTATTTTTTAAAATATTTTTTCTGCTTTTATGGATTAATAGAATTTATGCTGCTCATTTTTCAGCCTTGCACACATAAGCATAAATACTACATCATATAGTACTACATCTTGGAAGCACAAATAGTACATCACATTTTGCTAGTGTATGGTTTCAGATTATTTAATTTTGGCTTTGCCAGCTTCAGCCTTTACAAGACCAGTTTCAATTGACAGTGATCTGGAAAGGGAGCAGCCTTTTGGAAGATCCAGAGACCTGGCACTTCCCACAAGCACTAAACTAGGGTGGAGCCAATGTTTTAAGAGTATTTGCAGTTAATACAGAACTCCCCTCCCCTCCCTCTGATAATTATCACACTGACATAAGATACCATCTCATGGATATTAGAAGGTATTTTTCCAAATTCTAAAACAACCCACAGGTCTAACAGGACAGTGGGGAGGGGGGAACCCACAGGTCTAACAGGAAAAAAAAGATAAAGTATAATACATCAGATTTAAAACACCTGTTCCTTTAATAGCTGCAGAAAGATGCAATTCATTTCAGATTATTCTGAATATTGCAACACTTGAAAAATAATATAGCAATGAAACAGCAATGAAACACCTTTCGTGACTTTCTGGGTCAAATGCCAGTAATCCCCAGCGGGCGGCAGCACCTACTATGGGCAAATTTCGAAAACAAAATGCTCAGCAAGATCAGGTGAACGCTTAGCTAGCTGGGACAGCACCAAGATATCCTATGTCAGGTGACACTGAATAGCCTCGGAAAAAAAGACAATAACGTTATCATTTCTGTAGAATAGCCAAGAAACCTCTGCAAGGCACAGCTGCAAATCTCCTTTTCGTCTGGAGCGAATAAACTGCCTTTACTTAGGGTATCTAATGAAGAGGATAAGGGGGTTGGATGAGAAGACGGCCAAGGGTCCCGTCTCTTATTCTTATCAGTTAACCTTTTGATATTATCCGGAGGCTGACAAGAGCCCCTTTCTATGGCTCGTCTTAGGTGCCAACAGTCCGTGCTTGGATATGGAAAGGTGTTGCTAAGGAAAAGTATGCCGTGACTGTGAATGGACACTTCAACCTCATAATCACCGGACACAGAGCGATCGGAGGTCGGTAGCCACCTTCCTGAACCCCTTGTACCTGCTGCAGTCGGAGGTAGGAAACCAGCCCAGGCGGCAAGTGCAGAAAGCAGTTCTTGACACCGCTCAAGGAGATGCTCGCCGCGGCTATCCCGAATCCTCCTGCCCCCAACATCACCGGCGACCCTCCGGCCAGGTATCGTCTTAAAGACAAAACTACAGAAAGTCGCGACTTTTGACCGTCACCAGATTGGCGGAACGATTTGCCCCGGCTTCTGGCTCCGTACCTTGCTACCTTTTCATGTAGCCTTAACGGTCATTGGAGGCCCAGCCGTTTTTCTCCGCTTGTGATTGGATAATGGTGCCACGGCTCCGCCTCATTCCCTCGCCGCGTTCTTCATCGACTTCTTTCCGCCTTTCCTTAGAGAGGCCGCCGGTACTGCCGGCCGGGGGACGGGGGGAAACGGGTGTGTGTATATGGAGCGGGAAAAAAAAAAAAAGACTTCGATGACGTTTGGAAGAGGCGACAAGAGAGTACGGAGGCTAAGATGGCGGCGGTTGATGCTGGCGAGGAGGAAGTCGGTGGCGTCTGCCAGCACCACGCACAGCAGACGATCTGCGCATCGCGCGCCAAGTATCGTGAAGGGCGCAGGCCACGAGCAGTGAAGGTAAAGGAGAAACAGTTCTCCCTTGAGCCGTTTCCTCTTCTTTTCAAATCCGCTCTCGGGTACAGACGCTTGGGTGGTGATGATGATGATGATGTTCATCCATCGTGTTCGAAGAGGGCCTTGACCTCTAACGGGTTGTGGGCTGTCCACGGCGTGGCCACAGGTGGCTGGTAAGGTCTAGCCGGGCTAGTCCTGCCACATGTCGGGCATGCACGTGTGGGCACCATTGCTGCAGCATTTGCAACTGTGGCTCTGTGGAGTGCTCGCTTCTCTTGTGCTATGGCAGTGGTGGCTAACCTTTTTCGGCTCCTATGCCAATAATTACATGCATGCTCATGTGCTCGCACTTGCGTGCCAGCACCCAGAAGGCAATGCATGTTGGCCCCTCCCATGCCCCCTGCGCATATGCGTGAGACCCCATGCACGCTGCATGTCTCTGTGCGTGTGTCTCCCATGAGTCCCATACACAATGTGCACAAGCTACCCAACAATCAGCTGTCAGGTGGCGCCACACATGCATCTCTTTTGGGCGACCTCTTGCATGCTGGCAGTCTGCCGTGTGTGTCGTAGGTTCGCCAACACAGTGCTATGGGGTTGTTCTTCTCTCTTCAAATATATGGCAGCCTTGGTGGATCAACATGTGCCATGAAGATCGGTCTAGTGCTAGGGTTTCCCAGGAGGTGGTGTCAATATCCAGGGACTTGAAGGAGGCTTTCAATGGGTTTTTCTATGGCTTCCTTTGGCTCTCTCTCCCCGCCCCCATGCGATCACTTTCCTTGAGACAGCTCACCATAGAGAAACTGTTTAGGGATGTGGTGGTCTGGCATCCTTACAACATGGCCTGCCCAGCATGTCTGGGCTTTCATCAGCAGGGTGTGAACTGACGGCAGGCCTGCTCTGGAGAGGACTTCTGTGTCTGGCACTTTGTCCTGCCATCGGATCCTCAGAACTCTGCAGAGGCAGGTTGTGTGGAAGTGGTTCAATTGCCTAGCATGCCTCCTGTATACAATCGAAGCAGTAGTGCTGACTACCCTGATGTATGCCAGTGAGACTTGATACTTTGTTGAGATCTCCATAAGAAGCCTCCAAGCCGGATAAAAGCAAATCTGTCCTTCCTTCCCCCGCCTCCTTTTTTGTTTGCATATACACTCACAGCACCTAAACAGGAAATAGAGAAGAGTAGAATAAAATAATACAGTTGGGACCTTGGAGGACTTCTAGTCCAACGCCAAGAGACCTTACATCCCTGATGGTGAACCTATGACATGCGTGCCAGAGGTGGCACACACAGCCCTCTCTCTGGGCATGCAAGCCGTTGCCTCAGCTCTGCTGTGCATGTGCACGTGCCTCCCGCCGGTCAGCTGGTCTTCGGGTCTATGCTGTGCATGCATGGGAGAGCGGAGTGCGAGTACATTGCATTTTGGGGGTGCGCGTGCGCACTTTGGGTACTTGGTGCTGAAAAGGTAGCCATCACTGCCTTATACTATTTCAGACAATCTGAAATGTCCAGTCTCTTCTTTAAAAATGATGGAGCTCCCACAACTTCTGAAGGCAAGCTGATCCACTGATTAATGTTCTCACTGTCAGGAAATTTCTCTTTATTTTTTAGCTTGGATCTCTTCTTGATAGCTTTCCATCTGTTATTTTTTTTGTCCAGCCCTCAGGTACTTCAGAAGATAGGTTGATCCCCTTTTCTTTGTGATAATCTCTTGGATGGCTTTTATCATGTCACCTCAGCCATCATGTAATTTATCTTCATTAAACTGGCATAGCCAGTTCCTGCAACTGTTCTTCATGTGTATTTCATCTGCACTTTCTAGTATGTAATCTTTTTTGTTTCGTGGCAACTACAGTTGGGTGCAGTATTTCAAGTGTGGTCTTATCAAGGCATTATAGTTGTAGTAACACTTCACTTGATCTTGCTTCTATCCCTCTGTTAATGCAACTCAGGATTGCACTGCCTTTTTTGGCAGCTGCAGCATACTACTAGCTCATATTTAAGTGGTTGTCCACTAGGACTTTTAGACCCCTCTTGCAGGCATGACCTACCTTTTTGCCAGCAAAAAGGTTTGGTTTCATGGAAGGTATTTTTTTACAGAATGGAGGGGTAGGAGGACCATGCAACCTAGATCCTTAGCATACAGTTTCACTTGCCCACCGTTAACCTCCAGCTGTGTGACCTCACAGGCCATGGACAGTACTGGTCCATTGACTAGGGGTTGGGAACCCCTCTTCTAAAGTGTTGGCTATTCCCGCCAGCTTGGTATCATCTGAAAATTTGATGACTTCACCTTGTTTATCAAATTTATCAAATCACTGAAGAGTACTGAGCCAAGAGTTCTGAGACAGAATCTTGAGGTACCTCACTGCATATTTCCCTCCATGTAAAGACAGATTCTTAAGGACTACACTGTTGAGTGAATCAGCTAGTTGTAAATCCTCTGGTGGTGATGCTGTCTATTCCACATTTTTCTGTCTTACTAATTAGTAGTTGTGGTTCATTTTGTCAAATGCTTATTGAATCTAAGTATCCTCTGAAAACGGAAGTTGTGTTTAGTGTTACAACTGAGGTTTCCTGATAAGACATTTGTCAGTTTTCTCCTTAAACCATCATGTATAATTGTTGGGATCTCTACAGGGGTTAGATCCTTCTTTAATTGTTGAGCACTATGCCAGTTTACTGACCCAAATAGAAGTAGTAGTCTTTTGAATGATCAAATGTATCTCCGGTTTTACCACTTTAATCTTCACTATGCTTCCTATCTTGTGAAATTTCTACTATATGTTAATGTCCAAGGAAAATTTTGAACAGTAATTTTCAGGGCCATGACTAGCTATAAGCCATGGTTGTTGCTGGTCTGATGTTCCTCTTGAATATAGTTTTTGAAGTATTCAAGGTAGTAGCTAATTGTATTTTGCCCAAATGCTATGAGTAACCATTTAGAATCCTTGCTATAATACAGTTAATACTGATATCTTTCTTCCTATATTGTATGTAAGACTTAGCTATCTTTAATTTCTGAGCGTAGCTATATTCTGTTACCCCCTACTGATAATTTTTTTTCCCACTAACTTTTAAAATTTTCATTTTACCTGATATTAGTTTCTTTTTTCCCTTCATTTGTTTGGTTTGTTTTTACTTTGTAACTTGTATTGTTACGTTTATTTGGTCTCACAGTATTAATAAAATATAATGTATCAAAAATACGATTGTCTAGATTTATTCATCAAACTAAGCCATAACCAAACAACATGTAGTCCTTAATTAACAACCATTTGTGCCATGCCCGTCAGAGAAAAAGACCCTGATTCTCTTCATTAGCTGCAGGAAAGCTCGCAGCAACTTGTGGGAAGCAAATCTGAGTTATCTTTTATTGTTGAGGCTTATCTGGGTTCCTGGCGTCTTCCCAACTGTGTGGGTTTTGTTGGCCTTTGAAGTCGGCAATTCCTTATCTTGCCCTGTCCAGTTAATTGCTGCAGTGCGGTTTGTGTGGATTTTTATTTACAGTTTATATGTACTTTGTTTTTGGACTGAATTTCCTCCACTTAAAGACCGTTCTTGGGAGAGTTTTTTTCTCCCACTGAAGGTAACTGGACATTGGGGGCAAAGTTGGAGGTATTAAAAGGACTTTTCTTACTTATGTGACTGTGTTGCCTTTGTGCCGTGCCCCCGCTCATCACAATTTGCATAGCAACCATTCCAAGTTATAACACCTCTGAAAAATGTTGCTTATGACTGATCCTCGTAATAACTATCATAGCATCTCCACAGACCCATAATCAAAATTTGATTGCTTGGTAACTGGCATGTATTTATTGACTGCATTGTTCCAGGGTCACGTGATTGTCATTTGTGACCTTCCCAGTCAGCTTCTGACAAGAAAGTCAATGGGGGAGGCCAGGTTTGTATTAATGGCTATGATTCATTTAACAACTTCATCGTTAATAACTGTGGCACATAAAATGAACTGTGGCAATTCACTTAAAAACTGCCTTACTTAGCAATGGAAATTCCGGTCCAATTTGTATTCACAGGTAGAGGACTCCCATAGACGAACTTGATCACTAATGCTAAAATATCTAACTTCTGACACATTCTTTTAAGATTGTTATTCTGTATTACTGTAAACAATTAATTTTAAAATAGAACAGCTCACTTACATATATTAAAGTATTATTAAAGTGATTTTGTTTTTCAGGTTTACACTGTCAATTTAGAGTCTCGATATTTGTTAATCCAAGGTGTTCCTGCATTGGGAGTTATGAAGGAGCTAATTGAACTTTTTGCATTGTATGGTACCATCGAAGAATATAATCCACTAGATGGTTATCCAGCAGAAGAATTTACTGAAGTGTACTTGATCAAGTTTTTAAAAATACCAAGTTCAAGGTAATAACCATTGCTTTTGTTCTTCCTAGAATCCCTACTTGTTTGATATTGAAACATCTTTCATATATCAGTTTTATGTAAACCACAATAGTTATTTTTATATTGTGAAAACTTAACTTACTGGGTTTAACTTCAACATGATTTAATTGTTTTAGTATTGTGTATCGCATTCTGTCTTTTAGGGCAGCCAAAAGAAAACTGGATGAGCGGAATTTCTTTGGCAGTTTGCTACATATATGCTATGCTCCAGAATTTGAGAGTGTCCAAGAGACCAGAGACAAATTAAGAGACAGACGAAAATATATAGCAAAAGCAACCAATTTCAAAGGTTTGTGGCTTTTATTTTAAATCAGTAAAAGGCAAGAGCAAACAACTTTTGTAATTCCCCCCAAAAAACCTATATTAATTTGCCAAAGATTTTATCAGAATTCAAATTCAATCCATTGAGGACTTTACACTTACTGTTTGAAAAGTTATATTCTTTCTTTTTATATTCTCATTAAGAACCTCTCTTGCATTATTTCAAATCTAAATAGCTTGGCATGGAAAAAAGGATGGGAGCAAACAAAAAAACCTGTGTCTGCAGAGTTTACTTTGAATTAGATGTAATTAATTTTCATTTTTTTCTTAGTTTATGTATTTAATTTATTTTGCTTATTATTCCATTGTACCTTTTTGCACACCTCCAAAACAACCACCCCCCAGAATGGTGAATATTTATGTAATTTATTAGAATATTCCTTTACTTTGAAAATAAATATAGAATCATCACATCCAAAGCATAGCAGAACAATGCTTTGGAAGGAACTGTCAGCTAATACATTAAACCAATTTTTTCACTGCTCATCAAATAAAGCCTGTTCTCTACCATGGCAAATTGTTAACAAAATTAAAATTCACTTCAAAAATGCCTTTTTTACTATGCACCAACATAACACATTATGTTTTGTGTTTTGAGAGCAATCATTGGAGACAAAACAGGATTGTGGTATACGTTCTTCAAAGATCATGCCGTTGGATCGTGGATCATGGACATCTGAAACAGCCATTAGCAAATGGAATCCAGCAACATATATACAGGACCCCTGTCAATCTTCCTGTTGCACATTATTACTGAAGCACATTAGATCTCCCACAGAACAGCATTGCCAGAATCTGTTAGTAGCCCCTCACTATTCTCATGATCATGCTACAGTATCTGCATGCTTTAGCCAAAGCATGCAGGTGGGTAAGAAGCCACAGCCAAGAGAACATGACACATTGGCTTGCTGGAACCTAGAAAGAAAAGATCCATCTTATGAAGGTCTTGGAAGATTCATGCCCCGAACTACACAACTTCAGGAACGAAAGAGGAGAAGAGATGAAGACAACAAACTTGCCCTTTTGGGAAGAGAGCCTAATGGTGAAGAAATCATGTTTGGCCCAAGGCTACCAGAAATACCTAAAATAGATATGGATGATGATTCACTGAATACCTCGGCAATCTTAATTCGTAATAGACTAAAGAAGGTGGGCCAATAATTTTTCATTCAATGTTCTGAAAATATGTAGTTCTGACATCATTTAGAATTTGTACATATTAATTATTTTGCAATAACTTAATCCCTTTTATTCCATTATAAATGCATATCATATACTAACTTTTGATTCCTTTTTTCAAACTAGATTGCTGATCCAGTTCAAACTTCAAAGTCATCTGAAGAATTATTTGTGGAAAATCAAATAAAACCAGTAATAAAGCAGAGGCGGCGTATATAAGTATTTCTGATTGTATGTTATGTTTATATTTGATTCACAAACAGGTAGGCTCTGACTGTTTCTAGACAAAGAAATATTGCTTCATTTGCTAACATGAAGCAGTTCTTGTAAAATTTAAAGTTATTATCCATTATGTTGAAATGTATTGATGTCTGTGAATGTTATCACCTTATTTCTTGTGCTTCTAATGCTATCCTGTGATAGCATTGGGTCTACCCAGCTATATTACATTTCATTCATTGTATTTTACTTGCAGATCTACAACTCGGGAGCATCTTGGAAAGCCTGTGACTCAAAGGACATCCTGCACTGTAAAGGAAATAATAAACATTTTTTTAAAAAGCTATAACAAACTTATGTCCAAAGAACAATGGAAATGCTTAACTAAATACTAAAATTAGGTTCAATACCCCACTTTTAAGTAGCAAATTTTAAGAGCCTGTTTGGTGTCATAATTAAAATATTAGCCTAGAAACCAAGAGACTCGTGAGTTTTAAGTTTGCCTTAGGTGTGAATGATGAGCCTCTGTGGCGCAGTGGTTAGAATGCAGTACTGCAGGCTACTTCTGCTGCAGCCGGCTGCCTACAATTTCGCAGATCGAATACCATCAGGCTCAAGGTTGACTCAGCCTTCCATCCTTCTGAGGTGGGTAAAATGAGGACCCAGATTGTTGGGGGCAATAGGCTGACTCTATTTCTCTGGGCCAGTCACTTTCAGCCCAACCCCCCTCACAGGGTTAAACCTGTGGGGAAAATACAAGCCAGGAATATTAGGCATATTTGCCCCCTTGTATTTTATATAAAGAAATGTAATAATCATGTTATGTCACAATTTATTAAAATTATTTGCCAAATTTCTGCTTTTTGAGAAATAAAAAATAAAAGCCTTAACTATGTGAAGCTTTATTGTACGTCAACATTTTCGTTTCATATAATACTCTGTTCCATTATCAAATAGTTCATAAACATAAAAGACATTTATTTTGAAACACTTTACAGAACATTTTACAGAAATGCATGTAGTTAGGAAGTTTATATAACAATTAGACAATATATATGCAATAAAATGTTTTTTAATTGCATTAATTAAAAATTCATTACAAGAAATTTATTGTAAGAGTCCTACACCATAAGTCATCACATTACTATTTGATGATGTATTTTTCCAGAAGAGTCAAAAATCTAAATGAATGATTAAAATGGTCATCTTTACAACAGATTTATGTTTCTACAAGAGTACTGAGAATACTTGGGAGTCTTTCATATTTTATACAAAACATAGGTATTCTATAAGAATTAATCCCCTATCCCTGGCCACCAGAAACATGTCTGCCTTAAAACCTACTCATGGTGAATCTGTAAGATGACATTTTTCCTTAACAGTACACTCTGTGCACAATTATTAGGCAAGCTGTATTTTGGAGGATTAATTTTATCATTGAACAACTACAGTACTCTCGATCAATACAAAATGTTAATAAAGCTCAAACGTGAAGTTATGGCTTTCTTGGAAGAATATGTGTGCGCAATTATTGGGCAACTATTAGTATACAGAATTATGCAACTAAATAAAAAATGAACAATTTCCCATCTCATTTATTTTCATCTGTTGAAGAATAACTGACAGTTCAAAAAACAAATCCGTGACAATGTAGCCACCCTTCTTTTCAATAACAGTCATAAGCCTTTCATTCATGGAGTCTGTCAGTTTCTTGATCTGTTGACGATCATCTTTTTGTACAGCAGCAACTACTCGTTTTTCTTCACCATAAATCTCCCGTTTAAAAAGGCCTACAAGTTCTCAACAGGATTTAGGTCAGGTGAGGAAGGGGTGGTGGTGCATGTAAATATTCTCTCATCTTTAAGGCCTTTACAGGCTAGACACACAGTTGAATACTTTGATGCACAAATGGAACATTGTCCTGCATAAAAATAATGGACGTCTTGAAAGATGCAGACTTTTTCCTGTGCCTCTCCTTGAAGAAATGGTTTTCTAAAAACTGGCAGTAGGTTTGGGAGTTGATTTTGAGTCCACCTTGAACCCAAAAAGATCCAACTAGCCCATCTTTTATAATACCATCCCATCCCAGTACCCCACCCCCACCTTGCTGGCATCTGAGTCAAAGTGGAGCTCTTTGCCCGTTAACTTATCTAGCCACGGACCCATCCATCCGTCAATAGTCATTTTCATCAGTCCATATAAAACCTTTGAAAAAAAATCTGTCTTCAGGCATTTCTTGGCCCAGTCTGGCCATTTCAACTTATGTGTCTTGTTCAGTGGTGGTCGGATTTCACCCTTCCTTACCTTGGCCATGTCTGAGCACTGAACATCTTGTACTTCTGGGCACTCCCAAGTAGGTTGCAGTTCTGGAATATGACAGTACTGGAGGATAATGGGTCCTTGGTAGCTTCATGTTTGATTCTTCTCAAATCAGTTAAGGTGCGTCTTTTTTTCTCAACGCGTTTCTTGTGACTCTGTTTACTATTTGCAACAAAACATTCTGTAATCACGCCCCAATATCTTAGCAATTTCAAGAATGCTGCATCCATTTGAAAGACTACAATTTTTGACTTTTCAGAATCAGTTAAATCTCTTTTTAGCACATTTTGCCTGGGGAAAAGAAGTTGCCTAATAATTATGCACACTTTGATATAAGGTGTTGATCTTAGACAAAACCTTCACATATTACACAAATACACATCACCTGATTTGCTTATATGCGTTAAGCATTTTAAGTTTATACAGCTTGGAGGTGGAAAATATGCATACAAAGGATGATATGGTCAAAATACTCACCTAATAATTGTGCACACAGCGTAAACTAGATAACCTGTGATCCTTTGAGTCATCTTTTAAAGAGATTTTTCCCATGGTAAGAAATTCCTCAAAGCCTTCAACAATGACAGAAATTCTAATGCATTGCTTTCACTGGAAAAGTTGGATACATTCAGATGTTTGCCTTGAAAATAGCATGTGTTGAACTATATAACACAGACAAATATTACCAGAAATGTTTTATGACTTTTGTATTATGTCATAATCTGCTTTATGATAATTTTTGTATCATAAAATTTTGAAAGATTTGTCAAATTTCGATTCCACGGGAATCTTATGTATTTTGGATGCATTCAAGGTACCTCAGTTCAAAAATTGTTGCCTGTGATATACTGCTTCAGTCCAATTAAAGGTTATGGGAACAAGAATTTTAATAGCAAATAAACAGATTATCTGGGAAAAATTAAATCTTCCTTTCAGATAAAAAGCATTTCACTGTTCAATATAGACTTACATATTTGAATCTACCTGTAGCTCAATAAACTGATGGAGCCACTTTTAAAAAATAGAATTGTTCAGAAAAAAATAGAAAATAGTCTGTTCCAAAAAATTAGAAAAACAAATCCAAAACCTTTGGTTAAAATAGCCAGAAGTTGGATACTGGTGATCTATATTCAGATTTGAGAAATATAATCTAAAGATAGAGCATAGCTAAGCTTAGCTCCTTAGTCCTGGGCTAAAGTTATTTTAGATCAGGGGGAAGACTTCAGTTAAAGCATGCTGAAATACAATTGGCTTGTTTTATCATCAACATTAAAAGTCTCCCATTGTATACATATATAATGATTTTGGTTAGCCTCATTTAGTGAACATGCAAAAAAAAGCAGTTTAGTAATTTTAGTTTTGTACTTAGAATATTTAGTTCAAATCTAGAATAGAAATACAATTACTAATAAAATTACTAATTCATTACTAATATACTTTGATATAGACTTCATAAATACCTTCACATCAGGTAAACATGGTCCAAATGCTTCTAAAAGGAGATTTTCATCTCTTACTGCCCTTTCAAAATCCACAAAAGAGACTTTGCCATCATGATCATAGTCCTATAAGATATTTTAATCCATATAATCATATTTACACTATAGTGTTATATATAATCATTTGGAACTAAAATACAATTGGAATTAAATGTATAGTATTTTTTTTATTGGCATGCCAGTCAAATTTCATATAATTGCTACTGTACAAATTTATTTATTTAAAAAAATATTCTGCTATCGGTCCAGTCACTAATTTGGCATTGCTGATTAACCCAATAGATTGCTAAGATTATCTATTTATTTACTCTGACTGATTTCATTTCTGCTTTTTTTTCATCCACTAAGGGTATGAATGAAACTCAACTGAATTAATTGGATAGACTATTAGTATGATCTAAACCTGATAAGTTTTAAATTTATTATACTTGCCATTTTCTTCAGTGTTATTTCAACTAAATCTTTAATTCCTTCATCGGGATCTTCCTCAGATGGCTGTTTTAGCAGACTGTTCTTCAGCATATGAAACATTTCCTCTCGTGAAATATATCCATCACCATTCAGGTCATAAACCTCAAAGCAATCTTTAAAAGGTATAAACTACATTAACTGCATGCATGTAAAACAAAATTTCTGCCAGCTAATAAAAAATAACACTAAAACTAAATTGTAATTAAAGAAAGAAGCCTATTTTGCAATAAATTAGATAAATATACTGCATAATATGTATGGTATAGATTATATAAACTACAATATAATGTATTTTTACAATGAATTTCATAATGAATTTGCCCTAAAATTCAGAATAACATGAAAATCAATTTTTACTAGAAAAAATCTTACATTTCATCTTTTCTTCCAAAGTCCCTCGAAGAAATATTGATAAGCCTTCTACCCATTCTGTTACACTGACACAGGAATCATTGTCTTTGTCAAAAGCACGGAACACTGAACGAAAAATAAAGATTATTCTAAAGTTTTATTTTAGTGTTGGCAATCTAATCCAAAAAGAAATACCCCCAAAAAACCAAGACACAGAACAAGACAACGGTATCGCACTCCCCTACATCAGAGGCACCACAGACAAAATTAGCAAAATTCTCCACAAACACAATATCAGGACAGCCTTCGGCACTGACCAAAAAATAGCCAACATCCTAAGAAACCCCAAAGACAAGATCCAGCTAGAAAACCAAGGAGTTCATGAAATACCATGCAACAATTGCCCAGCCACATACATTGGACAAACCAACAGGAGAATAAATGCATGCATCGCAGAACACAAAAACGCAGTCAGAAGAGAAAAAAATACTTCCCCTTCTAGCACCTTAAAGCCACAGGACATGAAATTAATTTCAAAGGAACCAAATTAATATCCAACACTGAACACTCCAGCAAGAGAATAATCAGGGAAGCCATCGAGATAGAGAAACACCCCCATAACATGAATAGATGGGACGATACGTCCCGCCTACCAGACATCTGGAAGTTAGCACTCACCAACAAACGAGTCCCAGCCACGAAAACCAACACCAGACACAAAACAACA